ATATGGTCTGCTTGCCGTATAGAAGAAGAAGCTTTGTGAATGGTCTCTAGCTTATGGCACACTTGAACCCTGCATGTAGCCAAGTTGTTGTTCAGCAGCCTGCCATGCTCTGCTGATCATGGGACTTTCAATGGACTTGAATCAATGGCCTGCTATATTGTTTGGTAACATCGAGACTGTGTCTTTTTCTTGTCAACCTTGGGCTTGTCAGTCTCAGCAGCCAGCAGCTGTCTGAGAGAAGAGATGCCTCTGGCTTCAGTGGGCTGGGACCAAGAGGCAGAGCTACAGCCCAAGATTGAGGGGCTTTCACACTGACCCTAGAGCCTGGCACTTTGAACTCAGACTTAAAACCTCCAAAATTATAAGAGAATAAGGGAATAAACTCCTGAGAATAAACTCCTATTGGTTCAAGCCATGCCATTTGTGGAATGAACTGTCTTACCTTTCTCCTGTGCAGCAGCTGGTGTGTTCGAACCACTGACCTTTTGTTCAGCAGCTGAATGCCTTAACCACTGTGACATAAGACCTCCTTAAATACCTACAAATGTTCATCAAAAGGCATGGACAACATGATTGAAATTACCACAGTTTTATAACAAATGCAAAACTGCCTCAATGTTCATCAATAATAAGATGTACAAACAAATTGTCATATAATCTCCTAATGTAATTCTATACAAAAAATAAGAATGAATAAATTATAATTACACAAGGAAATTTGGTTGTATTTCACAAACACAGTGTGAAGGACAGCCATATTTACTGTATCACTTTGCAGATTCGAGTTCAAAAACAGTCATAACTAATGTGTGATGTTGCAGGGAGTTGAGACAGTGATTTCTTTTAAGGGGAAGTCTGCTGGAATAAAAGTAGTGTTTTTTTTTTCCTGATTTGAGATCCAATTCTTTTGTACTTAATTAAGTTTCAATAACAAGATTAAAAGATAAAAAATGATAGAGCTTGAAAGTGATTGGATGACCAAAATTAATTATAGATAAAAATGAACAATATTTTATTAGGCAGGATGTTATTTATTTAGGCTGAATTAACAAAATGTGCACCTGAACATAAAGAAAAAGATACAAGGTCGTTATTAGTCACTATGAGTCAGAGCCAAATGGACAGCACTTAACAACAAAATAAAATAAATAATGCTTCACTAAAAGTGTTTTTCAAAAAGAAAACACTAATAATGAATTTGTAAAAACTGATAAGCTGATTCTTAAATTTATATGGAAAGGCAAATGTCCAAGAACAGTGAAAACAATCTTGAAAAAAAAAAAATAATAAAAGCAAGTAAAACAGACAAAAAACCTGAAGCACCAGCAGAGCCTAAGGCTTTATTTGCACCATTTAGGCCACCTGCAGGAGCCCTAGGAGCTCTGGTGGCACAGTGCCTAATGCACTTGACTGCTAACTAGAAGGCTGGCCGTTCAAACCCACCAGCCACTCCTTGGAAGGAAGGTTGGGCAATCTTCTTACGTAGTGATACTGCCTCGGAAACTCAAGGAGGGGTCGCTATGAGTTGGATCTGACTCAATGGCAGTGAGTTTGGTTTTGTTGTTGTTGTTGGTGGTGGTGGTGCAGAAGCCCTGGTGCTACAATGCTTAAGCACTTGACCACCAGCCACTTCATGGGAGAAAGATGTGGCAATCTGGTTCCGTAAAGATAATAGCCTTGGAAACCCTCTGGGAAGTTCTCTTTTGTCCTATAGGGTCATTAAGAGTCATAATTGACTTCTCAATTGAGTTTAGTTTGGGTGAGGCCACCTGTTCCACTCAGGAGCGGTAATCAGATCACGCTCCTGAGAGTACGGCAGTGGTGATAATGGATTTAGGCAGCGATTTTCCCCACGTTTTTAAATTTTAAAAAAGAACAAAAAGATCTCCACAGGAATATAAATCTATCCCACTGTCTATACAAAGATACAATGTAGGGTAATACATATTAAAAATGGACATTTTAGTATTTCGATGAAATTGTGATTTAGGATACCTAAAGTGATTTGACTGCTAACCAGAAGGCTGGCAGTTCAAACTCACAAGCCACTCTTCCGAAGGAAGATGGGACAATCTACTTCCATAGTGATACTGCCTCGGAAACCCAAGGAGGGGTTGCTATGAGTCAGGTCCGACTCAAGGGCACATAACAACAACAAAGTGATACCAAAAAAAAAAAAAACCCTCAACTGTCATTGAGTTAATTCCGACTCATAGCAACCCCCCGTTGGGTTTCCAAGGCAATAAATCTTTATGGAAGCAGATTGCCCTATCTTCTGTGGAACAGCTGGTAGGTTTGAACCACCAACCTTCTGGTTAGTGGTCAAATGCCTTAGGCACTGTGCCAGCAGAGCTCCTTAAATTAATAAAGTAATGCTAAATAAGAACCACATCCACCTATTCCAACTTACGTACAAAATTGACTCAAAGTCACACTTAGGACTGGATCTCCATCATAACCTGGAGACTGCCTGTATGATAAACCCTATTAAATTCTTACATATAAGGAAGAGAGTCTATGTGTAGGATATGATGCTTTCTGCTCTTGAAATGAATGCTCTTCTGGGAAAGCACATAGTATTATTACATGGCTGTATGCATTCTGGGAAGGGCTGTGCTTGATGGAATAACTGCTCTATTGCATTGCTTTTGACTGGGAAAGGTCCTCTGTCTGTCAGCAGCTACTGGTATACACAAGGAGAGGTACTGGGCTACCTTTTGTCCGGGAACATAATTCAGTATATCATGAAGTTTAAGCTGTAGTTGGATGACCCATAACCCCTATTAGGTAAGGGAAAGGAGAATTAGAATTTTGAAGCAGGCACACTTAGAATTTGTTTCCTATTCTTCATTTCCTTTTTCAGAAATAAACTTTTCCATTTTTCCCCCACAGTTGGTGCTGAGGGAATTTAAGGATGGTTGGTAGATTTTCAACCTTTCCCTGTGTGCTTTTCTTGAAGATCCTGTACAAGGATGGGGCGGTCTCTACCTTAAATGGCTTTTACACATGGAATCGGATACAGAATTTGCTTTGACCTTCTCTGAGATAACAGGCAGAAATCGGTATAGGAAAGGCTGGGGATATAAATAGAAGAAGGGAGACATGTCTCTCTTTATGGTAAAAAAAAAAAAAAAGATTAGCAAATGTCTGATATTGATAGCTTGTAAAGTGTCCACTGGCATGCCTCCTTAGGCTTCAGTGTATTTTTCTCAAGAGCATGCACAACCAGTAGTATTTTTCATTTGGAATTGACATTTTAATCTGTTCTGACGGGTTTCTCGCTCTATCCCACTCCCTTAAAACAAGATTGTCAGCAGATGTCAATATATCTGTAATTCTTTGATCTGAGTAGCTTTCCTGGGGTGAAGACTTAGCCCATATAGGCACAGCTGAACTCACTTGTCTTTTTTTTGACAGACACCTTGGTAATATGCCTGAAGAAATTACAGGAGTGTGATAGGCTTCAGTTTAATGGTCCCAATGTAGCGAAAATGTACTAGCCAAACTACAAATTGACCATCCCTGCCAGTTCTTATCTTGGCTTCATAACTTCAGATTTCCTGATCACTTTGGCTTAGAAACACCTTCACCTCTTAGAGCAGAATTGGATGTGACCATCTACAGTAAAGGAGAACAGACTGGGAAGGATCCTAAGCAATCTTCCTATTCCCAAACCCCAAAGCTCTTGAACCAGTATAAGCAGGAGGCCAAACTTGGTGTTTTGAAAGCCAGTTGCTTTTTCCACCATTAATTCTTCACCAGATTTGGTGGTTAACTGATTTCTAAATAAGTGAGGCTCTCTTTCCACCCCCCAGCCCTTTATTGGAACTTAGTGTGTGCTGGTTCTACCACAGAAATATTGACAAGGATGTGTACGTCTGTGTTTCCCTTTCAGAAGTGCCTAACTGCCAGTCGTCCTACATGAGAGGGGGGTATTTCTCCAGCAGCCATGAGGGTAAGGAGCGTTTTTTGTTTCTGTTTTTTAAATAATACTCAAGGAAGCTTAAAACTGCTTAATTTCCAGGCTAAGATTTGAGGTCACAGGTTAAACCTTCCATAGCTCATAAATATCAGAGCTAATTAATCTTAACATTCAGTTAGTTTGTACCAAGGCTTTGAGGCACAGTCTTAAGCATTGGGAACTACTATCATTTTGAATAGTAATGACCCTAACCTTGAAGAATTCATGGGATAATTTGAAGGAAAAAATGAACCAATCTGGTTTTCCTGTTTCCAGACAAGGAGGTTATCTAGCTGTATATATTAACATCAGCCTAAATGGGAACTTGGGAATTAAGTCAGTGAGAGTGGTGTTATATGGATCCAAAGACATTTCAGAAAAGAGTTTTGAATCGTGTTCCTACTTTTTACTTAGTATGGATATTTAGTTAGGTAACTTTCCTTTCTATTATATGAAAAGTGGTTGTTGCTTTTAGAACAGGAGGGAAATGGGAGGTGTTTATGCTGACCTTGAGAGGCCTGGTGAAGAGGTGAGCTGTGGGGGGCGGGAGGTTGCTGAATCTCTACAATGATATTTTGTTGTTGAGTGTTGTCAATTTGGCTCTGACTCACAGCAGCCCTACATATATAAGAATGAAACACTGCCCTGTCCTGTGCCATCCTCAACAGTCCTTGCTGTGCTTGAGCCCATCCTTGCAAAACTCTGTAGTAGTTCACAGAAGAACTATTGTCAAATTGAATAGATTAAAAATAACTCAAAGGAGAAACATGGGAACAACAAGCTTGGGTCATTACATGTCCTGATGTTTATTTGTGTGTAAAGATGGTGGTTCTGTGTCAGGGTTTCACAGTTTTATGCCCAGTCCCTTTGAGACCAACTAATTAGCAAGTCTCAAGATAATCTCATTGTAATGAGGAGAAGGAACAGTGGCCAGCATTGAACCTGTGATTTTACCTTCATTAGCACTGACCTACTAATTGGGGCAAAAGTAATTTATAACAAATAAGATGCTTAAGTGTTCTGCAGGATATGGCTTCAAGAAGTGATACAGTAGGACAAGAGTCTTACCTGCCCCCACTTGAGGAGCTTGCTTTTGAGCTAGTTGCAGTTAAAATATAAAATTTTATAGCTTATTCTTATCACAAACAAATATTGGTTGCATAAAATTTAGAAAATAAAGATAGGCAAAAAGATGAAAAGTTGAACCTTATTGTCCAGAGGTAATTTTGACATTTTGCTATATAGTCTTAGCCTTTTCTGCGCCTGCATAAGAATTGTAAAAATCGTACAAGACCTATTGATGCATAGTCTGTTTTTTCTTTTAATAATAGTTATTAATACATTGAGCACTTGCTATGTGTAAAACACTGTTCTGAGTACTTTGTTTGCATTAATATAAGTCACTTAATCCTTATAGCAGTCTACAAGCTGGATATTTCTATTATTCCCATAGCATTATGGGAAACTGAGATTGAGAGGTTAAAAGACTTGCCAAAGTCACATGGCTAAGAAGGTAGAGCTAAGTCCTGTGGGCTCCAGAGCGCTTCACCTCCTTGTACATTTGACAGCCTATGACTCCTGTAGCATCCAACATTCCTATAATTCCGTATTTAGTGACTGTACAGTGCTCATTGCATGGGTAAGCACTTACTTGATCACCTATTGCTGAAAATACAGGTATTTCCACATTATTCCTCAAATAAACCAAACTGAGGTGAATATCCATCTAGCTAAATTTCATACACTGCTTTAATTAATTCTTGCAAATAAATTCCTGAAGGTGAAATTTCTGTGTTAAGGTAGGTTGACATTTTTAAGGCTTCGGCTACTAGTTTGTGGGAGGGCTTGTTTGTGTCTTATGTGTGTGTTGTTTTCAGTGCTTGTCACAGATTTTTTAAAGTTTCAAATTTCTGAAAAGAAAAAAGGAAGGAGAAGGTCTTCTGTGAGGGCAAGATAATCAAGTGGCCAGAGTTTGGGAGGAGCATTTGTTGAGTCTTTCCTGCATGAAGGAATGACAGTAGCAAATGGATTGGTTCAGTTGGTGGAGAGAGGAGTCCTATTGTGGACTGAGATGAAGTTGAAGCGGCATGAAAAGCCTATGGAGGTAGGCTCAGAAGTTTGGAGTTACCCTTATGGGCAAAAGGCATGACTTTAGATCATAGGATGAAGATTGCCTTTTGAACACTGAACTAGGGAAGAAAAATTTAGAGCACTCTCCCCAGAAATTAAGTCATGTCTTCCATTATACACATCTTTCCATAAATTTTTAGAGTTGGAGATTCTGCAAACCAGTGACATCAGCTTCAACATGACACTTGTTATAAATGCAGATGTGCTGGACCAACCTCAAACCTACTGAATCGAACACTCTGGGAGAAGAGTCCAGCAATCTGTGTTTTATAAACCCTCCAGGAGATTCTGATACAAACTGAAGTCTGAGAACTGCAACTCAGTGATTCTCAATTTTGACTGCACATTTAGAATCACCTGGGGAGCTTTTAAAACTCACGTTCAGGCTTCACTCCAGAGCAATTAAACAAGAAATTCTGAGGTGGGACCCAGGCTTCAGTAGTTTTCAAAGCTCTCCAAGTGATTCCACTGTGTACCAAGGTTGAGGACCACTGCACTCCAGAATTTGAGAGGGTGGTGGAAAGAGCTAAGACAGCAGCCCCATGAAGCATGATTGTTTTTTATTTAAGTAGTGAATTCCCAACAGTGGTTTCTGTGGGTAGCTGCTTCCCACTGACTTAGATGATAGATCAAGTGTTGTTATACTGGACACCTGGTGACATTCTGAGTGTCCAGCCCTGAAAAGGAAGGGCTGTCTACTAGGCCATGGACTATGACACACACAGCTGTGTGAGGCTCTCTTCCAGGCTCTTGAATGTTTCCATGAATCAATTGATGTCTACAGCAGGCAAACGGGGGGGGGGGGGAAGGATGATAGGGAGGGAAGCATTTTGCATAATTACAACATTTAGTAAAGCATGCTCTTAAAGGAAATATTTTTAGTAAGGCATTGGGTTGCTTACTACACACAGAATATTGGACGAGTTTGTGTATTCTTTCCCACTCCTTACCATTCCTTTCCTTGACCCCCCACACATGGAAGAAGTCAATTTCAAAAGAGACCAGCAGTCTTAATTGCTCTAAATTACCCTGACATGGTTTTTCTCTCCTTCCTAACACAGACTTGACCACAGATGCCTGTTAAACAGTTAGCAAAACAAATGTTTCTGATTGGCATCTGTGATTGCTAAGATAGCCATCCTGCCTTAAGCGCTCACCTGGAACCCTTACATACTGTTTTGAATCTTTCATTTCAACTTTGCCCCTCACACGAGTTCTTCCTTCCTGCCACCTTTATTTGAGTGATTAGATGGTTGTGGCCACAACTGATGCAATTGCTGGTGCAAATTCAACTGACTTAAATTTCACTTAAATCAACAGCATCTTCCAGATGTTTTAGAGAACTACATGTGGCAATGACTAGAAACCACAAAATACACTCTTTATAGGCAGGCCATCATCTGATTAGTTTTGAAAGCCAAACCTAGAATTTAATCTAAATTTACTACCACCACCACCACCCTTATACATTGTGAATGTGTTATCCTTACCTTAGAGGAAGACAAGCTCTAAAAATAACAAGGCACATTTGGTAACTGTAAACTTTGGAGTAATTCACTTAATGACTTTATTAGTAAGGCCATTAAAATACCACTGGACTATCGAATTGATAATTCAGTGTGGATGTGTTATGGCTTGAATTGTTCCCAAAAAATATGTAGGAAGGGCTTGTCTTTGTTATGTTAATGAGACAGGTTTAGTGTAGGAAGTGTCTTATGTCAGTCTTTTTTGAGATAAAAAAGAGATTAAATAAGGAAGTCGAGATGAAGTGAAATAGGTGCCAGGACACATGGAAATCTCCAGGAAACCAAGACGCAGCCGCTAAGGAGACAAGCACTTTCCTCCACAGCTGACAGAGAAAGCTTTCCCCTAGTTGTTTGTTGTTACATGCCCTCAAGTCGGCCCCGACTTATAGTGACCCAAGGTTTCCGAGGCGTTATCACTATGGAAGTAGATTGCCCAACTTTCCTTCTGAGGAGTGGCTGGTGAGTTTGAACCGCCAGCCCTCTGGTTAGAGCTGGTGCTTTAAATTCAGCCATCTAGCCTCCTAAACTGTGAGAAAATAAATTCGTTTGTTTAAGCCCCCACTTGTGGTATTTCTGTTATCACAGCAGGACAGGAGAGAATAAGACAGGGGGATTGGGAAATACATAGCTTCTTGGTAACCAAAGCAAAAGCATGAATGAAACATGACAAATTATATAATTCTTATTGAAAACATAAAGTACACCAACTTGTCATAAAAGTCAAACTGTTTCCTAGTACCAAATTAGATAGTAAATGTATCATAGGAGTCACTGAATCCCTGACTTAAAAGATAGTGTGTGTATTTTTTTCCCCCTAAACTTTTTATTGTGATTTGGGTGAAAGTTTACAGTAAAAATCAGTTTTCCATTTAACAATTCATACACATTTTGATTTGTGATATTGATTGCAATAGCACTCTTCCCACCTCCTCCTAGTGTTTACCGTGTGAGTTCATTGTTTTTTGGGTTTTTTTAAGCGTGATATGCTTAAGTTTTTTTTTAAATGGAGCTTATAGAAATCTCATATTTATTCCAATATATATTGAACACTTAGTACATGTAAAGTATTAAGAGAATACTAAGGTATTCAAGTCATGGTCCTTTTCCTCAAGGAATTTAGAATCTGTGATAGAGGGTGAAGTTCCCACGGTTTTCATGCGAAACTTTCCTGATAGCATCTCTCACAGGGTGCAATTACGTGTTTGCTTTTTAACTGTCATTTATTACACACTTTTGTACCAGGAGCTCTTCTTGGCACTCTCTGTATATTAACTCATTTAATTTTCACAACTTGTATAAGGTAGGAATTATCACCTCCAGTTTTCAGATGAGATTAAT